CTCTGCACTGAAGCACTTACATCCGAGCGGCCCAGGGGTACAGCAGGAGCTCTGCAAATCCCAGGATGCAAACAAGTAAATTTGACGGATGTAGAACAGGGGTCTCCAAACTTTCTAAACAAAAGGGCTATTTTATTGTCCTTCAGACTTTAGGGGGGCAGACTGTGGCCAGCGGGAGTAAAAAAAATGACATAGTACTCCTGTGGTTAGGAGGAGGAACAATAATGCCCAATACTCCATTGGTGTCAGTGGGAGGAATAGTGCCCCATCATTGGTATTAGTAGGAGGAATAGTGCCCCATCATTGGTATCAGTGGGAGGAATAGTGCCCCATCATTGGTATTAGTAGGAGGAATAGTGCCCCATCATTGGTATCAGCGGTAGGAATAGTGCCCAATCATTGGTGTCAGTGGGAGGAATAGTGCCCAATCATTGGTATCAGCGTAGGTAGGAATAGTGCCCCATCATTGGTATCAGCGGTAGGAATAGCACCCAATCATTAGAGTCAGTGGGAGGAATAGTATCCCATCATTGGCATTAGTGGGAGGAATAGTGCCCCATCATTGGTATTAGTGGGAAGACAAGTGACCCATCATTGGTATCAGCGGTAGGAATAGTGCCCAATCATTGGTGTCAGTGGGAGGAATAGTGCCCCATCATTGGTATTAGTAGGAGGAATAGTGCCCCATCATTGGTATTAGTAGGAGGAATAGTGCCCCATCATTGGTATTAGTAGGAGGAATAGTGCCCCATCATTGGTATCAGCGGTAGGAATAGTGCCCAATCATTGGTGTCAGTGGGAGGAATAGTGCCCAATCATTGGTATCAGCGGTAGGAATAGTGCCCAATCATTGGTATCACTGGGAGGAATAGTGCCCCATCATTGGTATCAGCGGTAGGAATAGCACCCAATCATTAGTGTCAGTGGGAGGAATAGTATCCCATCATTGGCATTAGTGGGAGGAATAGTGCCTCATCATTGGTATTGGTGGGAAGAATAGTGACCCATCATTGGTATCAGCGGTAGGAATAGTGCCCAATCATTGGTGTCAGTGGGAGGAATAGTGCCCCATCATTGGTATCAGTGGGAGGAATAGTGCCCCGTCATTGGTATCAGTGGGAGGAATAGTGCCCCGTCATTGGTATTAGTGAGAAGAATGGTGCCCCATCATTGGTGTCAGTGGGAGGAATAGTGCCCAATCATTAGTATCAGTGGGAGGAATAGTGCCCAATCATTGGTGTCAGTGGGAGGAATAGTGCCCAATCATTAGTATCAGTGGGAGGAATAGTGCCCAATCATTGGTGTCAGTGGGAGGAATAGTGCCCCATCATTGGTATCTGTGGGAAGAATAGTGCCCCATCATTGGTATCAGTGGAAGGAATAGTGTCCCATCATTGGTATCAGTGGGAGGAATAGTGCCTCATCATTGGTATCAGTGGGAAACATAGTGCCCCATCATTGGTATCAGTGGGAAAAATAGTGCCCATCATTGGTATCAGTGGGAGGAATAGTGCCCCATCATTGGTATTAGTGGGAGGAATAGTGCCCCATCATTGGTGTCAGTGGGAGGAATAGTGCCCCATCATTGGTATCAGTGGGAGGAATAGTGCCCCATCATTGGTGTCAGTGGGAGGAATAGTGCCCCATCATTGGTGTCAGTGGGAGGAATAGTGCCCCATCATTGGTATTAGTGGGAGGAATAGTGCCCCATCATTGGTGTCAGTGGGAAGAATAGTGCGCCATCATTGGTATTAGTGGGAGGAACAGTGCCCCATCATTGGTGTCAGTGAGAGGAACAGTGCCCCATCATTGGTATCAGTGGGAAGAATAGTGCCCCATCATTGGTATTAGTGGGAGGAATAGTGCTTCATCACTGGTGTCCGGGAGGAGAATAGTGCTCCATCATTGGTGTCAGTGGGAAAAAACACACTGCAAAGCTATCAGTACTTGGTATTGGCGAGTACTTTACCAAAAGTATCGGTACTCATACTAGCCGGTAAAAAAAAACAGCATTGGTGCATCCCTAGTACAAAGAACTATCATTCTAACTTACCCAACTGTCTAGATTGTTTTTGCACAATAAACCTAAACATTGATGGAGGATTTTGGTATGAACCCTCAAATATCTTGGGTGCCAACTTTTGATAGACCCTTAGGTATCCGTTTATGAACCAACGTTAAATGATCGCTGCTCAGTTTTCCGGCATTCTCGGAGAACACAGTTCTCCTGTGAATGCCGTTTATGAAGCAGTGTAGATCATTTCTCCAAACGGTCTACAAACACTGGAGAATGGTCTACAAACACTGGAAAACGGCTAATTTTACTATAATCTCACGAGATTACAGTAAAAGATCAGTTTACTAAACAGAGGTAAATTATCACTGCTTACTTTGCGGTTCCTCCGATTCTCCAGCTCTGGGCTGGAGAATCTGGAGGGAGAACACAGATCTCCAGTGAAGGGCTGAACATGTTCTCCGCTGATCTCCTGAGTGTCATAAACTGTGAATGACCAGAGAATAGCTGTGATCCTCTGAATCGCAGATATTCTCTGTGTCATAAACGGACACCTTAGATAGAACTTTTCCCCTCCATACAAGCAGTAATAACCTGACACAAGTTCTTTCCCTTCTCTACTCTATCCAGAACTCTTGGATGGAGAAGGACCTCCATAATCACAGTCCTATATGGTAGAACCTAAGTGGCTTTCACCTGTTTCTCACACTCTTTATTGAAATGTTCTTGTGGATGGAAATGACGGACCTGTGAAAGGTTATTGGCTATGGGTCCACCATTTCCATGTAAGATGATCAAGGCAGCCTCATAACACCTGCACATACTTGTCATTGTCCCAGCAGAACTAAGCACCCCCCCCACACTTGTCTGGAACACTGGTAAGTTGTGACTCGACCCTTTACTTGGTTCCATCACACTTTCACTGCCTTGGCACATTGTAGCATTTAACGCTCAGCTTTGCAACAATTCCCATGTCTGCCTACTTCTACTGGGCCATTTTCACTGAATGGTTCAAGTAATGCTTTGTAGCACCCTAATAAAAGCCAATTGGTGAACGCTAGTTGAAAGTTTGCATTCCCTATGTATTTGTATGCTCCTGGTCAAATGAATCTGATTGGATGTCCCGATTCTTACAATAGAGCCCCACAGTGCACCACTGCTGCTTATTGTTTGCACACTGTGTTCGTGGATTGTTCACCTCTGACCAGGGGCGGACTGACAACTCATGGGGCCCCCGGGCAATAGGGGATCATGGGGCCCCTGTGTCCTTGACCAAACTCAAAAAAGCCTATGAAAAAGGTACCAGGGGCATCTCATGGGGCCCCCTACTGACCCCGGGCCCTCGGGCAGTGCCTGAGTTTCCAAATGGTCAGTCCGCCCCTGCCTCTGACTTCCCCCTCCAACATAAGCACAGGTTCCTAATTCTGTCCCTACTACTAACTATTGCCATGCTCCATTCAGGCACATTGGCTTCACTGATGTATAATGTATAATAAGAAAGTTATTGTACTTTTTCTTTGTAAATATGTCAATTAGCGGTCCAGAAGGTCTTTGTGCACTGTGTAACAATCCATAGCCCCGTTTTAAAGTGGTTGTAAACCCTTACATACTGTATACCAAGTGAAGTGACTGGCCTCTGAGATGAAACAAATCATCCTACATAAGTTATACCTGTTTATCTGCAGTCTTCTTTTCTCTACATCCATTCAAACTCCAGAATTTATAAAGTTTGTCTGAGCTGTCAGAAACAAAGTCAGCAGCTACAAAAACTGTGCTGTGCACAGCCATCCTGAGCAGTGTGCCCGAGCTGACAGGGAGAAAGACTGTTTGTAAACAAAACAGTCTTCCTCCCCGTCGGTAATTGTCGGTAATGACTGGGCACCGGCGGGTAATCACCGGCCGGGACCCGGTGATTGATATCCGTGGCCACGAATGGCGGCGCGGGTAGGGCGCGCGCCCCCTACCCGGAAATGCAAAATCATGTATCTATATGTGATTTTGCACACCTGTGCAGCCGTGTAGCAGTATATCTGCTATATGGTGGCAGGTAAGCGGTAAAATAATGTCCATCCACCACCATCAAGTGCTCTTGCTTGTAGCAAAACAACTCCAATCAAAATTGCCGTCACTGTCTCCCAGTGAATTAAAAACTCACCAGAAATGATGGCTGCCACTACAAAAGCATGAACGCCCTGTGTTTAAGTAGAAGCGCATGTATCTTGACATGAGACTCTGTACATAGGTGTCAGTCTGTCTGGCCGGGCTGTAGTAAACAAAAAGCTCACCAGGAGCAAATAAACTTCCAATAGTGTAGTGTTCATTTAAAACCAAGTGAATCAAAATAAAAATACATATAGCAAAGAGAAGTCAGCTTACATAAACAGCCACTGCCGACCCGAGATCGTGCAGCAGCGTGACGTCAGCATTGTAAACTCCTCCCCGACGTATTTCGTCCAATACGACATTATCACGATATATGCGCTTATGTCAAGATATATGCGCTTCTACTGAAACATATGGGCATTTATGCTGTTGTAGTGGCAGCCATCGCTTCTGGTGAGTTTTCAATTCACTGGGAGACAGTGATGGCAATTTTGATTGGAGTTGTTTTGCTACAAGCAAGAGCACTTGATGGTGGTGGATGGACATTATTTTAACTGCTTACCCGCCGCCGTATAGCAGATATACTGCTACACGATGGCACGGGTGTGCAAAGTCACGTACAAGCAAAATACATACATTTTTGGTGGTGGAAGGACATTATTTTAAACATATTTTAAACCATTTTTGTTTTCATTATTGTTTTGACATCACGGGCATTTATTTATTTATTTTGATGCTCTTCAGTTTCATTATTATATGTTTAGCGCTACACTTTACGTTTTCACATAAAATATGAATGGGGGACACTGAAGATACCTAGAATGGACTGCAAATTTAGATCTTAGGATTCCGGGGAAGCTCACTTGCCTTATTCTTTCCACAGGTTGTTAGTGAGGCTTCCCAACAGCATCAAGAGGTCCTGTGAGCGGGCAAATGAAGAGAGACGCAGCACAGGAGCACCGACTGACCACAGTGCACGCCCTGAGCGCAACCCTGCCGGACAAAATGCCACCTCATGCTGCCCCCTCACCACTCAACTTCTGCACCCGTCACCGCTACTACTCCCCAAGATAAGGACTGCCGAGGGGGGCTGACTCATGTTTAGAGCGCCCCCTTTTTTGGAGAAAACTCATGTCAAGCACCCTCTTGGAGGTTTCCCCATCAGCACAGGACAGAATGCAATGAAACCAGAAATAAAGTCAACAACACTTTCACAAACCATTGCATTCCCGATCATTTCAAAGGGAGCACTGTAGTCTGGGTGGCTGCTATGTAAAGTCCCACTATGCAATTAGAGCAATCACAGTTCTTTTCTATATGGAAACTTTTCTATACTTTCAGTTTCCATTGGAATTCTGTCCAATATTTTATAGATTGTGGGTGGAGAGAACCAGGGTTTGATTAATAGGGATGACCTTCGTGGGGTGAGCTTCCCCTACACCTGGTTAGCCATGGCAGTCACAGATCTGCTGCAAGCTGGATTTCCTGGTTCCCTTCTCATTTGCATTCTCCATATATATTTCTACAGCAGTGGTCACCAACCTTAGTGAGACCAGGGCCAGGTAAATTCTTCCAAAACACTCCATGTCCAGTTAAAAAAAAGTTTTTTTTACCTATACAATAAAAGTATGGGAATGCAAATATATTCTAAAAAGGGAGAACAACCCCAAATCATTGGTGTCAGTGGGACCGTAGCCCCTAGAGAGAATATCCCCGGAAATGATTAGCATCAGGGGGATCAAGCCCACAGAGGTGAAAAGCCCATCAATACATTGATGTCAGTGGGATGCTGACCCCCCTGATGATCCCCCAAATGACATAAGTGGAATCGGAATCCTCCAGAAGTGAAAACCCCTCAATTGATTGGGGTAGGTGGGATAGTGACTCCCTGAAGATCTCTCAAATTATTGGTGTCAGTGGGATAGTGGCCCTCAGGAGAGAACAGCCCCCAAATTATTGGTATCAGTGGGATAGTGGCCCCTAGGGGAGAATATCTCATTAAATCATTGCATCACTAGGACTGGAGCCCCCAGAGGTGAAAAGAGCTTCAATTCATTGGTGTCCATGGAATGTGACCCCTGAAAATCCCCCAAATTATTGGTGTCAGTTGGATAGTAGGCATCAGGAGAGAACAGCCCCCAAAGTATTGGTGTCAGGGGAATAGTGGCCCCTCCAAAGCCAATATCCTCTAAACTATTGGTGTCAGTGGGATAGTGAGCCTCAGGAAAGCACAGCCCCCACATTTTTTGTACCAGTTGGATAGTGGCCCCCAAGGGGAGAATAGCCCCTAATATCATTGGTTTCAATGAAATAGCAGACCCCAAATGAGAAAGACCATCAATTCGGTGTCAGTGGTGGTACTTAACTCATCCTAGGACAGGAACCAGTACCACCTGCAGATGAAGACCTATGATCAGGGGTGGACTGACCATTTGGAAACTCGGGCACTGCCTGAGGGCCCGGGGTCAGTAGGGGGCCCCATGAGATGCCCCTGGTACCTTTTTCATAGGCTTTTTTGAGTTTGGTCAAGGACACAGGGGCCCCATGATCCCCTATTGCCCCGGGGACCCCATGAGTTGTCAGTCCGCCCCTGCCTATGATCCCAGTGCTTCTTCCAGTGACATCATTCTCTACAGCCCTGGAACTATTTCAGATCTGTTGGATGCCAGATCACCCACAGAGCAATTTCTGCCAGAGTATTTTTTATTCAAAAAGAGTAGTACCCTGGCTTTTTCAGTGATGCAGTGAAATGGCTTGAAATTACTGGAGGATCTTGCTGTCCTGCGGTGGACCAGTCCAAGCTTGATATGCCAGAAGTAGGTGTTGGAGCAGACAGAAAACTACACTATCAGCAGGTAGGCCGTGGCCCAGCCAGTGGATGAGAATCACTGCTCTAGAGGGTGACACTATTGTTCTGTATAGGAAATGGAGAGTGCTCTCCAGGGGCAAGAACCTGGAAGATCCACTCAAAGCTGAATTTTGGATTGTCCTGGCAGGACCTAGGCTGGGGAGGGATGCCAAGGTCACAGACAACAATAAAGAGCCAACATGTGCTCAAACCCTGTTTCACTCCACCCAAAATTAAACATTTTGAAGTAAGTTCTGGTTTAAGGGTCAATTTTAGAACACTTTATGACTTATTACCACAAGCACATACAGTAGGCTAGTGATGTGCCAGGAACTACAGTAGTAACTTGCCCACTATGGCGCCTCTACCTAGTGAGCTGACGAGCACAGAGATGGCTCTGCCTGTAAAGTCAATGGTTCTATAGTGTGTAGTAGCAAAAAAAAAAAAAACCTTTTTTTTTTTTTTTTTAAAGTAAACCTATCAGGAGCAAAATATCGGGGTTCCATCACTAACCTTTTTATAAAAATGCTAGTTGCCTGGCTCTCATAGTAATGCCCTGGGCTACCATACGTTTATATTAGCAAGCTTGCATGCTTGCTTTGGGTCATTGATGCAAAATTCTAAAGGCTTTGACATGTCATTCAAGCAACTAGCATTTTTCAACAGAGAGCTCGGCGGTGCCAGTCTCCTTGTTTACCTGATGACAGATGTTTATTCAAACTGTGTTTTTATAGGATGTTTAGATTGCAGATTAAGTGGACCTGTCTTGCAGCTGTAAGTTTTTTTTTTAAAGGGCAGATTCTCAACTTGTTAGCTGTTTGTACATCAGAATCTTTAGTCGGAAGCAGGGGCGGACTGACAACTCATGGGGCCCCCGGGCAATAGGGGATCATGGGGCCCCTGTGTCCTTGCCCAAACTCAAAAAAGCCTATGAAAAAGGTACCAGGGGACATCTCATGGGGCCCCCTACTGACCTCGGGCCCTCGGGCAGTGCCCGAGTTTCCAAATGGTCAGTCTGCCCCTGGTCCCTAACCCTCAAGGGGCGTACAATCTAAGGTCCCTAACTCACATTCATACATACACATACTAATGGTCAGTCCGCCCCTGGTCGGAAGTGAGGTTACTGCATAGCTGGCCAAGTTTTGATTAGATTTCCAGGAGCCCTTTGAGCTGCTGAGATGAGATGACCTTGTGTCCCTACCCGGTACTACTGTACAAGTCTAAGTGATAGAAATAGTTGTACCACCATCTAGTGGAAAACTACACCTACAGCAGGTTCCTGTAGTGACCCTTCCATTGGGGGCTCATTCACACCAGCAGTATTAGGCTGCTTTGGGCAGCAATGCAATCCCAAACACAAGAACATAACAATTTGTCCTAAGTCCTATGGATTTTTAAATGATATTTTTTAAACTCCAATAAAAAGTGGAACATATAGTATGCCATCCATTTCCAAGTGGACTACACTTATTTAAAGTATAGCTGAACCCAAAACTTTTTATTTTATAGAGCGAATAGATTAGAACCCGTAGATCAAAAACGAATTCTCCTGCGCTTTAGGGCTCAGACAGGTGGCGAACAGATGGAACCAGGCCTGGAGGGATCGTCCACCAATGCATAAAGGGCTGTGCGGCTCCAAAACAAGGCTGGGGAAGCCCAATCAACACTGCAGAATGAAAATGAAAACGAGAAGCGCACCAACCTTACATATAATTACCTCAGTAACCAAAATTTATTAATTGTAAAAAATATACTCACAAACAGCGAATAAAATCAGGCATGTAAGTCCTCACAGGGACTTGAAGCTAACATGAGTCCCATCAGGGGAGTAGGTGCTACTACAGGTCCTACTAACCTGAGACTGCCCAACCCAGTGGGGAGGGCCTAGGTTCAGTCCAGGAGTATATATATAGGAGAGAGCACTCACAGTTCAGTTAGCTCTGAGGAAGAAGGGACCCCCTTCGAAACGCGTCAGCTGTATATATATATAAACACCTACTATAAATATATATATATATATATATATATATATATATATATATATATATATATATATATATATATCTCTATATATATATATATATATATATATATATATATATATATATATTATATATATATATCATATCTATCTATATATATATATATATATATATATATATATATATATATATATAGATATATATAGATATATAGATATTATGGCTAAAATTTCAAATATATGTCAATATATTTGGTAAAAATATTTTTAAATATATTTCAAATATATTTTTCTTCCATGTTGGGATAGTGACTGAAAGCAAAAGAAAATCCATATTTTTACTGTTCATCAGAACAGGAATAGAAAGGAAATTTTCCAGTGACGACTTGCTCATTTTTACCAACATTATGATCCCAGGACACTATTAACCCCAGGCATGGTCTGCATTGTGAGAGTATAAGGTGAAGAACCGGCAACTTGATCTCCTGATGAAAGTACTGTATTAATAAAGGTTACAGTGTGAAAGCTACAGTAGTTTACGCGTTTCAGTAAAAAAAACGCATATTCATAGCCATTGACATAGTTTTCTTTTCACTGAAACGCGTAAGCTGCTGTAACTTGCGCACTATAACCTTTATTAATAAAGTATTTTTTATCGGGAGAACGAGTTGGTGGCTCTTCACCTTATACTCTCACGCTGCTTAAAATGCCAGGAAGACACTGTGAGCGCTGGAGCGCCGTTGGTCTACCTCCAGGGGAAATCAACCTAGATGTACACTTTCCTTTATGGTCTGCATTATATCTGCCCATTTTCTGGGTGGGCATTATCAAGTTGCATCCACTTTGTAGATTGGTGCCACACAGACCCTGCCTTTAAATATGTCAGGTGACAGACATGTGGACACCAGAAATTTTCATTCAATGTGGGATGCATCCGTTCATCGAAGAATTTCCTTTTGTCATATTCGTTAATGTTGACCCAAATCAGTTTTGGAATTCATTTCGTATCTTTGGCATTTGTTTCATATTCTATTTTACTGGTCCAGGTGGATTCAAAAAATGTTGCAGTTTTTCCAGAAGACTGCTATATATTCCA